TGGAAAGTGCCTTGAGATGTGTGGTGAATTGATGCTATAGAAATAAACTAAATTGAATTGAATTAAATTTATGTTCCAGATGCTCTTGTTCTTCCCTCCATCTACAACCTTGTAACTGTATTTTCCAACTTCTTTGGGTCCCAAAATTTTTTTTTCTACTCTGAATTATCCTAATTTTCTCTGTCTTATTCTTGGTTGGTCTGAACTCTTCATGGCTATAAATAAAATGAGTTTCTCTACTGTTAGAGTGAATAATGTCTCCTTCCTTTGTCCTTGAACTCTCTTCCCTGCTTCTGCGTAGCTTATATTTGTTGTTTAACATGTTTCATTTCCACAGCTTTGTTTCTCTCCTCCCATCCTCCATAGTTAACTCTGTGCTGGCCTCCACAGCTGCAGCACCTTTCTTCAGTTTCTTCCCTGATCTCCTCCATTCTCTCTCCTCCACATGTTCAACACCTTTTCTTTCCCCTACAAACTGCTGCCAGGCGTCCATAGCTCTGCCACCTGTAGCACCTGAGTGATGCTGAGTGGTGAACGGTCTGAAACTCATCCAACCTGTTTTAACTCTTTCAGGTAGAACCAACCGACTGTTTTTATGCAGCCTCTGTAGCTTCTTAACCGACCTCTAAATTCTTGTTAATTCCTGTTATCAGTCCTTTCACTGTTTTATTCTCTCTTATGACTTTTATCTCTATGACCTCCTTTCCCTTAGTGTTCAACATCCAATGCTTTGCTTTTTTGCTCCTCATTTTTGCAAATTTCCAGCAAGTTTCCATCCCTCAAGTCCTTCACTAATTCGACTTCCCTAATTTTTTTTACTTATTTCCTTGGAAATCAAACTGCAGATCAAATGACTGTTTATCTTCAGCACTGAGTCTAAATGTTATTTTATCTCTTCTCTGACAACCTTTCTTCCTACAACTCTTTATTCATTTAAACAGCTTTCTTCAAATTCCACTTTATTTCCTTGATTTTCAAATGCCCTTTTACCTCCTCTATCTGTCTCTTTCCCATTTCAAACTGTTGTCCATTCTTCCTCATCATCATCTACCTGACTTGCCATATTGTTCCATCCACCAACCTGTCAGACAGAAACAACTGGTCTGAGAGCCACTTTTCAGACCCCTCTAGCACTTTGATTTCTAAAATGCTCCTAGCGCCAAATCTAGAGACTTTTTTCTGCTACTGGAGACTTTGGAGACAACATCTAAAAGCAGCGAACTCTGCTCTCCAGAGC